TGGAATGAAAAACAGAACCACCTCAAGTGCTGATTTACCCTATTGTCTCAATTTAAACAGCTGTAAGATTTTTCATTTTTTATGATTTTATGCAACAAAAAAAGTTAAGATTACGTTGTACTTAAGTGTTGCTTCAATCACCCTTATAAAAAGACACCTGATTTTGGTAGCTCTGCTCTCTGTATTTATCAAATTCCTCTTTCTCCTTAGCACTGGGTTCCCTCAAGCCACTGTTGCCATCCATGAGGATTATAGCACCTGAAATAATAACAAACAAAAGATGAAAATACCTTTAAATAAAATATTTATGGACTTTAGAAACATAGAACCCAAAAATCTTTCCTGGTTACCAGGGTTGTCCTTAACAATTGGAATAGCTTTGTCATTAAAAAGTAGAAGGGGGTTTGGGGTTCCTCCCTAAACAGGAGTTTAAGGGGGGATGCCAGTTTAACCAGGGCATTATGTCCTTAAAGGCCAGAGAATTCCCTGGCTCCCAGGTCTAAAGGGCAACCCTGTTTAACTGGTTATTTAATGCTGATAATATGCTCCTTTAGCTATAGTAAATCATGCATTTTTGATGAAAATTTATACCTTTTTCAAGCATAAGAGTGACTTCTTCTTTGGAGAGCTGAAGTGGCAGGCCAAGGTGATTGTTTTGACGTGGTAATCTTGGCAAGCATCCAATGAGACATCCCACTATCCTCCACTCCTCTCTCAATTCCACAGCATCTATGCACAAGAAACATCAATTTAGTACATAGGCTTATACTTAGCAACAACTTATTGAAAAAAATACAAACATGATTTTATGCAATCTCTATACCACAAAACTATGATATCATTTGCATCCTAAGTCAAAAGGACTTTTTATTTGACGTCATACTTTCATCACTTAAATGGCTCGGGTATTTCCAATTTTGTCGGAAGCTTCCAAGAAGTTCAGAATCTCGATACCGATGCATGGGAGGTGATTCTTTTTACTGCTGTGTTTTCTTCTAGTTTTCTTTCTTTTTTTAATGAACTGAGGATAGGCAGTACAAGTACGTAACATGTACACAGGTTTTTGTAAATAGTTAAAATACAAAGCTGCACTCTCCCCAATGGTATCACCATAAAACATATTATAAACCCATGTAGTTAGCTAAATCAAGAGATTGTGCTGTACCTGGGTATACACATTCTTTTTAAATATTTTTTGTTTATTCATGCCTTTCTGAAGAAAACGTTTTCTATGTATGAACTCATTGTCCCTGGGACCTGTTTATATCAACTGTTGCGAAAACCTCTCCTCTTCTGAGAAATAATATGATCATGAGTTACATAGAAAGTCTCAAAATGGCCTTATCAGTAAACAGTGATAGTGAGCGCAGTGAGCGTTGTGAAGCGACGCTCATAACTGCGAGCTCTAACGATAACGCCTGGGCGAAGAGAAAATTCGGACCACTGCACATTCATTCCCTAGAATTTTTTTCCACAGTAATTTTGACCCACAATGCATCGCTGCGTATACAAACGCTAAAGCCACGTTCTTGCGAGAATAATGACACAAGAGGCCCACGGGCCTTATAGGTCACCTGAGTATCATGTAACAACTTTCCAGCGATTGTATTTGGTTCGTGTTTTAATCCAAAAGCCATGAAATTCACAAATTTTGAAGAAGGCACCATTGCTTATCAAAGGGCAGATTTCAAAGCATTAATTTATTTTTAGTCAAAGTACCCCCCTGGTACCCCTGACCCAGCATCCCTGAAATATCTATTTTGAAAGAGGCCCCTTTCTTCATTATAAGGCCAGCATTTTTTTTTTTGTTTAGGTTTAGTTATGAACATGAGAATAAAAAAGTCCAAAAGGAGAAGGAAATAAAAAATTTTTTTTGATAAATCAATTATTGACATTTGTTCATTCTTTTTTTATGCTATTCTAATAGGCTCCTTACCACTGGACACATAATGCTTACAAATAGGAAAGTAGAACATTTAATTTGCTTATTTCATCATCTGCCAGTTTGGGCCAGTTATATAAATTTTGTGATGTTGGTCAAAATATATTTTAAAAAATCAATTCTTTAAAAGTCTTTCAATATATCTTCATTTTTTTAATATGTGTTAGGTGAATGTGTAGACATTATGTTCTAAAATTTACTTGATACCTAAAATTATAATTCCTATCATAAAACAGACAGGGAGTATTGGGGAGTAGGGTGAACATTTTTTCAATTAAGTGTAAGTGTATTTTCCTGGACCTGTGTAAAATAATTTTTCTGGCTGATACAAATGATACTACATGCCTGTATATATTTGTATATTCTTGCCTTTTAATAGTTGATTTTTTTTTATTTCTACAGGTTATTGTTTATTTCTTCCTCAAATGGACTTAACTTCTCCCATAGTTTTATTCATTACATCTGATACATAAGCAACCCTTTTGTAAAGAATGATGCTTAGACTGTAAGCTATAACAGAGACCTAAACAATATCATAAATCCGCATCAGGACACTTAAAAAGGAATATCTTTTGGTAAGCAAGTTTTTCTGCAACCTTACAGTTTGTAAGATAGATCTCCAAGAAGTTAAGGAATTTCCGAGGGATCAATCTCCTAAACAATGGGCATACAGAAAAACTTGTCAACCAAAAATTATTCCTTTTTAAGTGTCCAGATGCGGATTTATGATACTTATTGCCAAAATAAAAATTTTCAATTTTTGCACTGTAAATTTAAAGCCCAATTGGGATATTATATCCCAAAAACGGACTATTATATCCCATTTGGGCGACTGGTCCCAACCTGGTCAACATATTATTTAATGCAAGTTTTACCTTTAGAACTCCACACCAGTGGTTTGTCATTTTGGAGGTATACTTTGATTGGTCTGGAAACAGACATTTCTAAGCATAGGAGTAGAAACAATAATACAAAAATTCAGAAAATGTGCATTTTTAGCGGAAAAACGTCAATATTTTCATTTCAGCTACATGGGCGCAGCCATCTTGAAATCTCTCGCCCTTCTTTGAAGAACTCCGAGAACGTCCGTCAATGAAAGTCACGTGATTGAAAACGGCGCGAAATAAGCACATTGTCAACAAAGCAGGGAGGGAAAGAGACAGAAAGACAGAGAAATCATGGCAACAGATATTGATCAGCGCTTGATTGATATTCAGAGAGAGTATGTTGATTTCCTTGATGACGGGGTAAGAGTTTATCAATTGTATTACAGTTGATGTTTTGGCAGCGAAAAATCATAAACAATATGATATCGAGCCGGAAAATTTACCTTCAGAGTTCAGTTAATATTTTTTAAGAAATAAAGTTTTTGTTGTTATCTTCATCGATATTTCTGTTGTTTCCTCTTATTCTAAATTAAGATCAATTCTTTTATTCAATAAATTTTGTTGGAAGGGGAGGGGAGGGGAGTTAGACATGCAGGTCACTGATGACTGAAGGTAATAAAATACAAAGTGGTCATTTGGTTTTCATGCCAGGATTAATGCTACTCTATTCATGTTAGCATGTGTGATTATGTGTTCACTTGGAGCTTAGATTTAACAGTTAATTTTAAACAGTCTAGGATTTTAAACTAGGTCCCCCCTGAACTTGAGTCAGGTTACACTACCAGTTGAGCTCTTGGGCCACTTTGCAAATATGCCTGCCTGACTTATAACCAATGTATTTATTCTGAAACTATGCAGGAGCTAGAGTACCACATAGTCATGAGAGTGGAGACCATACTGATTATCTTGAAAAAACTTAAAAATCCCCACACTGACCATGCTGACAAGCAGCTGATGTCTCAACTTTTTCCATCTTTCATTTTTACCAATCTTCTGAGGTCAATAGATGTATCAGACTTGTCGAAATTTTTTAATCGCTGTCACACATTTGGTCTGACACAGTCGAATGTTTTGTCGGACCAGTTAAACTTTTGTCAGACCAGATACTTGTACGTTATTTTGATGCTGGTAAAATCATATGAATAACAGCACCAAAATGTCCTTTATTATTTTCAATAGCCTTCAATCTAACAAGTTTCCTTTCTTGGGATAGAGAGTCTTTAACATAGACATAAATGACAAGTTTTATGACTTTGCTATAACTAATTTACTTAGCTGTCGTCAACATGCTGCGTACGCGGCCATTTTTTCTGTGTTTGTGACCTTGAACTACGCATCCCGATCCCGACCTTTATTAAATTTGCATTACGCTCATTTTTTTTCAAACGGTCATCTGGACTGACGTTTTCTTAAATGCTATCGGTCCAGACAATTTTTTACCGGCCTTGCCGACAGGACCGACAGATTTCGACAAGTCTGATGTATTTCAGAAAAAGGAAATCATATATCAGACCATTTATTTGCTTGTTGTAATGTTTAAGCATAAAGATCACTGAAAAACTTTTACTTCAGAGAAATAAAATGTTGTGACAATACTCATTAGGCCTTTCAATCTAATTGCTAATGGATAATTGTAAGTAGGGAAAAATGCAAGCTTTTAAGCTCCATAATGAGAAAAAGTATCCCACAAAATTTTAAACAAGTGACCAATACTTTTAATCTTTTACATATGTGTTGTAGGAAGATCAGGGCATCTACCAGCAGAAGGTCAGGGACATGATCACTGATGATAAATGTAGACTTGTAGTGAACATCAATGATCTCCGAAAGAAAAATCCTAAAAGGGCACAAAGGTTTGTACTAAGTTAAGTGAATAAAGTTACTGGCATGTATGCACATGTGTACATCTACATGTCAGTCCTTGTGTACTTGTTTGGTGTAAACTTTAAAATTAAGAACTTCTCTTTGGCAACTGGATAAATTTAAGTGGAAACTTGATACAACCCATACCAAAAAAAGGTACAGATTAGGCATGCCTATTCTTGATAAATATAGGCACAAAAAAGGTATACCTAAAGTATACAAGTTTGGAACCACTTCTTCAAGTATAGGTAGCAAATTGGTACAATATAGGTACATTTCAGGCACACATAAAACATTAGATTGAGAAGTGAGGCATACCTAAAGTATGCCTATACATGTGCTAATATTGTACCTATATTTAAAAACAGGCACAATATAGGTATTTACAAAGTTTGGCATATAATTCAAACATTCAGATAGGTACATTTTAGGTATACCTAAAAGGTGCCTACATATCAATCTATTAGGTACCCTCAAGGCTGTGCCAAAAGTATGCCAGAGGTATACCAAAAGTGTACCTACAAGGTACCTATATTGTACCAAAAGCATTAATAGGCACATTTTAGGTACTAAAAAAGCACAATATTGGCACATCATCTAACTAGACCAGTAGGTACATTCCAGGCATACCTAAAAAGTGCCTACATATCAATCTATTAGGTACCTTCAAGGCTGTGCCAAAAGTATGCCAGAGGTATACCAAAAGTGTACCTACAAGGTACCTATATTGTACCAAAAACATTAATAGGCACATTTTAGGTACTAAAAAAGCACAATATTGGCACACCGCATAACTTTACAAAAAGGTACATTTTAGGCATATGAAAAAATGGGCTTTTGTCGACAAATCAACCACAAAACCCAGTTAAAAATTTCTTTCTCCATGAAAGGTTTTTTAATTTTTGGCCTTACATGAAAAACACATACTTAATTATCATTCCTTGTGAATGGGGCAGGTCTATATTAAGGAAGAATTTAACAATAATTATCAGGTACAAATAAAAATTTATTGCATGATGCTACATGAAAAATATCTCTTTAAAATCCTCTCTACAAACAGAATCTATATATGACAAATCTATATCTAAAAAAAATTAATATTGTTACCTTTAAAAAAATAATGATATTTAATATCATTCTTTGCAAGAAAAAAATAAACACACCTTTTCAGCATATAAAAACATAATTAATGTAATTTAAATACACAAAGACACTGTAAAGGTACTGAAAGTATACTCCATTTCATGTCCTTTTTTTGGCCACACATTATTCACTTGCAACATGTGCAATTCATGTTATCTTCATTACTTTCATAGAGTTCCTACCCATTGCACCACAGAATTTTCTGCACAGTAATAGTCCTTTTACCAGGGTAAATCCTCATTGCTGTACAGTTGCGATTTTCATCTGGACTCTTTATAAAAACTGATCCTCCATTTGAATGTACCACGCAATTCCTTTTTTCTTCTTTCATGCCATTCCCTTCAATTCTGAAAAAGTTGTTGCTCTTGAGTCTTCACTTACTGAGTGACATTTGAAATTATTTTCAAAAATATTACATAGATGAAATCCATGCCTGAATCTATAGGGGAGAGGTCCGGGGAGTCTGGAACTTCCTTCCTACTTCCATTATTGTGTTATTAAATGTATATATACTTAATCAATTAAAAGTGATTTGGACCCCCCTCCCCCTACCCTGTGAAGATCTGCATCTGAAATTCCTAAAATTTACAATGGAGTTTGATAAGTGGTGATTAATTTTACTATTATATATATATATATATATATATATATACATTGTATATATATATATATATGTAGGACTCCAAAGTGCGATGGGACTCCAAAGTCCGATGGTCACGCCAAAGTCCGACGGTCTGCGCCAAACCCCGATGGTTTGACACGCCAAAGTCCGATGGTGCGGAAAACAATTAACGTTTATGACGTCATAGTACTACTGCGCAAAAATGTAATGCAGCGCCATGCCAAGGGCCTTTTGTTCAAAATAAATACACAATAAATATTAAATGCAAATATTAATCCTAATCTTTTTGATATAGGTGCGAGACTAACTCTTATCAGTCGAAAATTGTGTAAAAAGTATTAGCTAGATATCTTGAATAGATGCAGGACGAACCCAAATCAGTCCAATAGTGTGCGAGGACTAACCATAAAATCTCTCGGGTGAGTTTGAAGAAACACATTTGTGTTCAAGAACTAACCCTTATCAGTCGAACGGTGTTCAAGGACTGACCCTAATATCTCCGGTGGACAAAAACAATAAGCAATATCAGTAAAAAAAAAGTATGTGAGACGAATACTGAATCAATGGATTTTGAATGCAGAACAACGTCATGACGTCGGACTATTGTGACGTCATAAACGTTGATTGTTCCTCCGCACCATCGGACTTTGGCGTGTCAGACCATCGCACTTTATATATGATATATATGCCATATATATATCACCATCGCACTTTATATATATATATATATATATATATATTTTCAAAATCATATTAGATTTCATACTTACTGATAGTTATAGTCTTTATGCTTTTACTCCAAGTTTAGAATGACTACAGGGAACAAGAATTTTGCTGAAAAAGAAAGTTTGTTCATGAAATTATGTGACATTATTATTTACAAAGTTTACACTCATTAGTATACATTCTTATTTTTTTTTATTATTATAATACTGAAACATTGTCACTCTGAATTAAATGATGTGTGTCACCCCCCCCCCCCCTTTACCCTGGCTTGAACCAAGTGGAGAGATAGGGTTGAAACGATTTTATGTAAACTTAATTACTTATAACATAAATTCAAATCAGTTAGTTTTGTTATATTATGTTTTATAAATGCTGTAATTTTGATACTTTAAAACATGTTAAAAATTATCCCCCCATACATTTTTTTTATATAGAGATCTTTACTTTATATTTCAAATTTCATATGCCAATGATTAAATTTTCACACTGTTCATTTGAATTTCTGTTTGTTATTATCGCCATGCCCATGCAGAGGCTACTGTTCTACCTGTTCGGCGATATTGACACATTACTCGTAGTATTTTTTTTTAAAAGACTCTGAAACTGTGAAACACTTTTTTGTCTTGTTACACATCTGGTTAAACAAAATAATAATTATTTAAATCTCTTTACTTCATGTGTAGGCTGTAGCACTGGCTGCACGGCCATCTTGAATCAAAACAAACCAAAAATCTACGGTACAAATACCTAGAATTTCGTAAAATTTACATTTGATATTCACATTCTAATGCATTCTTTACGTGCAAAAATACATAAACAAAAAGCAGCATAAAAATTTACACTGAAATAAAGACTCACCGACCTATAATTCTCCGATTTCTTTTTGAGGTTTTCATCTCGGCCAATTTTCAAATCGTCTCTGTAATGTCCGCGCTATTCACTGACCAATCGTAGACTTCGCTGGAGTCACGTGATTTTATTAAAATTTATTAAATTATTCA